CGACCGTGCCTGCCCTCACCTTGTTGTGGAGCACACAGTGGATATCGTCGGCAAGGACGGTCGAACGGTCATCGGGCTCCCTAGTCTTTGAAGATGGGTAGCTGAAATCACCAACTAAAACGTCAGTCTTAAAATAAACTACTCCCGACGAACGCTCCTCTTTTTTGATATGCCACCTGGGAGCCGCATTTTCACTAATATTAATGTTGACATCTTTAGCATGGTGTGGTACTGAAAAAACAAATGATTCCCCCCACTTTATTCTCCTTCCCAGCTGTGGACCACATGCCATTCGCCTTCCTGAGTTGAAAATCAACGCCCGTGTAGTCATTCCGTTCTTGGATGAACTCCGCACAGTTTTGCACATTGGATTTACGAATTTATCTGCGGGAAAAGTCGGTGTCGGTATAATGTCCACCAACCGAGTCGTTAGGAGGATACCCATGACAGTGACTGTGTCCGATTTATTTTGCGGTCTACTGGACTTGTACAATAGGTACTCCGCCTTATTTAAAGCTGTTTTTTGTGATTTTTGATATCAAGGGCCCGTGGCAGCCCGCTCCTTCGATCCCCAACGCGTCCGCCTACTCATGTTGCCTTGCTGTCTGCCCCGTACCCTTGCTGTCGATTGGCCGTTGGAGCCGTTTACGACTTCGCACCAGCTTGCGAGAGCTTGAAGCCAATCAGTGCTGCATCTTAGGCGATTGGCTGTAGGCGGACACGGCACAGATAAAGACGCACACGCTCGGCGCCGGCGACCAACAACCTCAACTCCGCACACACTTGCCCGGTGAGAACGCTGGACGCGAAATTGCATATGGCATAACAATGGGGCGGAGGCACGATCACCAGTTAAGATGTGCTCTTCACTGAAGCACATTTATAAGACTTTTTATACCAAACATATCTATTTTTAGCTGAATTTAAAGAAGGAAAAAATCTCTAAAGGATATATTCGGATTCATAATCTCTGACAATAATTACGTCACCTCTCGCCACTCGCGCGAAATCATTTCGCAGACTAGTAGAGCGGTCCGAGGATATAGTATTGCCACAGATGGGGATGAAGCTTGAAATGCGGGCGGAGCACGTGGAACCCTCTTATTGAACAGCTACTAAAATAGTTCTCCGGAAATTTCTAGTGAGGTTCGCCGCTCCTGTTGAGAAACCATCACGAGGATACCTCAAGTCCTTCAAGAAATGTAGCTGAAGTGGTTCGAGCACGCTTTTCGTTGCCATTCCCAGGAGTTCACTGCTACAAATATTCCACAAAAGGTAAAAATTCACAGATGGAAGCGAATATGCGCATGACCAGGATCTTGTTGTAAAGAAGATGAAGACGCGATCTCTGGGACAGTGGGTTTATTAGTCTGAGCTTTCGGTTTCATACAGGAGGTCATCGTCAGAGACTGTGAGAAGGCAACATCAAATGAGCGGTTTTTGTAGTCACGCCATGAGGGGGGGAGAGA